TCATCTACAATCTGATGGACAGATGGAGCGCTTCAATACTATGCTGGAAGACTATCTTCGGCACTTTATCTCCGCTTCACAGAAAATTTGGGTAAAACTCCTGGATGCGGTTCGGATATGTTTCAATGTCAAAAGTGCTCTTCTCCCAATAAGAGTTCTTTCGAGATCACTGCTAGCCAGCAACTGTTACTCCCTCATACTAAAGAGATTCTTGGCCATTGAACTACTCGAGCGTCTAGGAACTACCTTCAAGAGTACTTGGTCAAATGGAGCGGATGCAATAGCGAGGAGAATAACTGGGCAAATGGAAAAGACCTTGGAACTTTCAAACCATCAAGCATATCATTNAATGGAATAGACCTTGAAGCCTTCAATCCATTAAGCATATCATTCATTAAGGGCTCCGAGAACGTCGCCAAAATAAATGGGGGAGAATGTCACGGACCGCAGCTTTACTTAAACCCCGTGACCCAATCGCAGCCGCAGTTTGCCGAACTTCGGCCACATATTGTAAAAAATTTATTTCAATTGTAAAATAGTTGAAAATTAGAACATTTTATTATGATTCTAGAGACTCTAAACGTTTACTCCCGTCAATTGGATTTTTGTTGCTAAGTCTATTATAAGGGGTATTAATCTTTCAAACAATCTTTCAAACTTTCTAGTGTTTGCCCCCTGCACTAGCCATTGTAATTTCCTACTTTCATCTATTGTAATTTNACTTTCTAGTATTCGCCCCCTACACTAGCTACTGTAATTTCCTACTTTCATCTATTGTAATTTTTAGTTTTCAAACAATCAATGATTAATTTATGTTCAATGCATTTCAGTTTTATGTTGGAAGCTTTCTTTAAATTGTAATTAAATTGTCTTTCGTTCCGAAACGACCAAGAGAAGACAGAATGTAGTCTAGCGAAGCAGACTACTGCCGCACAGTGTCCCTTTCTGCGCTAAGAAGAAAGGTAACCCGTGAGACTAGGTCAATGCCTCGTGTAGGATTTAGCCTTGACAAGTATTAAATGGAAAAAAAATTATGTTTTGAATAGTGATTTTTAGGAGAATGTATAATTAAAATATATGGAAAAGTTTTGAGTTAAGAATATTTTTTTGTATGAATGTGTAGTTGAAAATGAATTTGTAAAAAAAGATAAAGTTTGAAAATAGTGATGGTGGGCCTAGTAGCTATGATTTCAACTTACCAGGTAACACCCCCCAAAACGTGAAGTATGTTGGAAGCATCGCCTACATCCAACGATCGTAAGCAGTCCACATGTCAAACATCCAATAGATGCACCATCCAATTCACTTTAATTAATTACAGACTTGAGGCCTCTTTCTTTGTTGTTGGATCACATTAGTTCCTGCAGGCTCAACGATAGCGACTATAAGAAGAAAGGGACAAAAACCAGATGTAAACACAAGACCCAACTCCAATTTAGTTTATGTCTCATAATCCATCACCTAAAATGAAATTCATTAGACACTCCTCAATTGATAGACTTAAACTTGTTAACTTCAAATAGGAAAATCATATGTTCATGCAAGCTAACCATCCCGGCTCGACTTATTATTGCAATGTGCCTAAAATTGAGTAGGCTAGAGACGAGTATGCTAGAACTCAATATATTGTTACGAATAATGCTATTTGTACATCACTGTTTACATACTGATATACGATCGAAGACGTGAAAAAAATGGGAAAGGAAGGAGGCAAAAAAGTCAATTAATATAATACCTGTCATCTTCTATAAATGAATATATAAATTATGATATATAAATAGCATTATTCTAATATTATTCAATGTCAAAGGTACTTAGTTGATATCAATATGGTAGTGGGCAGTTATGCATGCGATATATATACATTGTACAGATGAAATGCACTCATCATAGCATAGTTTTCAAAACCAATTAATTCGGCCATTGTATGCTATGCTTAGTCCCTTGACCACCTGCAGCCACAATTTGCCTAGTTTTGGTCGCTTTTAAATGTCAATTCCAGTCGCTTAGGTTTTCTTATAATCTAATATAGGAATAGTTGGAATTCAAAGTCTAGCATCTAGGTGCGGATCCAACACTCAGCAAGTTGGAGCGACAGCTTGTGCTGAATCCGTCGAGAAAAATGATTAAGGAAGATTTTATATTAATTATATATAATTGTTAGTGTACAAATATCTAATGATAGACGGTGTAACTCAAATGGTGATGTGTTCACGCTCCATTCAAGATGGATGGGGGTTTGATGCTTTTCATATTCACTTCATTTTTAATATTTTAACAAATAATAATAAATAAATAAAAACTGTACCTGCCTTTAACCAAAAAACTCTGTAACTTAAATTGTGAGCGTTTACTTTGGATTCAAGACTTTGGGTTCGATTTCAATCACATCATCTCTTTCCTTTAATTTTTTTAACATATTAAATTATCACTAAACAATTATATATTATTAGTTTTCATTTCCGAAATATCTTTTTATGATTTTGATTGACTAAAATTATTAT